GTATAGAGTGTCACCAGTCACCAGGACAGGTGGCAAGGGGAAATCTCTTCTCTTTTTAAATAGGGTCAGGAACAGTTTAAAATGTCAGTTACTTTCTGTGTCCCATTAGGGAGATTTCCTTTTACTTCATGTCCCAGAGACACAAAAGAAAGTCAGAGGAAACGTCTCTAAAGTGGAAGGAATCCTCTCTCAGATAGTTGTCTCTGAATTGATTATACCAAAGGAACAGTCTTCCCTCTATTTTTGCTGTTCTAGTGACAGCTATAACATTTTGGATTTCTTGTCACTTTATGTTTTGGTGACAATAGTCACCGGACAAACAAAGAGGGCGAATCTCTTCAGGATAAAATTCAAGTGCAACTGAAGCCAAAACTTCATATTTTTAGCTTTGGATAGCGTGGAGAGGGATTAGAACATCTGTCAGGATTTTTATTGCTGTCTGTGCCCCCTGTTAACAAGATTCACCCTTTCTATTCGTCCAGTTGACCATAATCTGTGAAAGGAAAAGAAAATCCCAAATTCTGGGTTGTCATCAGAACAGGTATAAATAGGAAATCTTCCAATGGAGTCACTAATTCTATTGACCCTGCCAACGAGATTTCCCTCTCTTTGGAGGGATTTCCTCTTACTTCCAATTGATGTTATCGAACAGGAAGTGAAGGGAGATCTCCCCAATGACACACAGATGCAAAAAAAGTTGACAGGATTCATAACCCTCCCTTACACCATCCAAAGCTAAAAAGGGCTTTGGTTGGAGTTTTACTTTATTGAGGATCAGACAAAGGTTTTATTTCCTTCCGTACTTTATACAAAGCTTTAAAAAAGTATAAACTTTACGTTTATATGTTAATCCAACCAGGATACAGGAAAGTCAAATTACAAAAATAATGTTTGTTGAATTCTGTAGCTTATATGTTATGTATGCTGCATTCATACTGATTAACTTAGTTGACAATGGAATAACACTTTAAATAGTGCAAAGTGCTTGAAATTTTTGTAAATATAAGCAGACCCAAGTTCAAGAAAATGAGACTGAGAGCAATCATATCATTTTATGGAAATAGTCTATACAAATAAAGCAGAGATAAAAGCACGAGCCACATGAATAAGGAGTGCAAGGAACATAAAAGCTAACTTTTATAAACCATTTACTGCCAGAATTAACATCTGTTGTTTCTTTTACCAAATGCATGTTCAGTAATACCACCTCATTAACTTCTTTAAGGGTCGTAAAAAGGTCAAACTAACTTTATTTCTAAGGGAGGTGATTGCCAGTTACATCATTAGCCAGCAGAAAATGTGCCCTATTGAATTTGTTGGAGAGAGAGAGACCCAAGAAGTAAAGATGCTCTCCAGTCATATCCAAAAAATAAAGTTTATGCAAACCCCAACAATGCACTTCTCTTATTTGCTCCCTTTTGGTCTATTATATTCGGCTCCATCCAAATTTTGCACAAAACTAAACTACATCAGACGTGTGACTGTTCTCTGGCCAATCAGATGGATTTTTTGGGCTGTTGGGGGTTGCATTTCAGGCATGGTGACTTTGTTCCAAAACAAAAATTCAGAGGTGGCAACTCTGCAGTCCATTGAGTGAGTGTTGTCACTCTAGGACAGGATGTGTGTTACTAGCGAAAAATAAAGGAAAAAAGCCAGAGACCAAAGAAAAAATAAAACTTCAAAGAAAATTAATGCAGCCTCCACATCTGAGAAATGCTAAGCTAGAATATATTATATTTTGTTTTTAGGTTTAGGTACATACCGTATTCTAAAATGCATAAAAAGAAAACAACCTACCCTTGCCAAGGCTTCTCCCCACATAAGGAACTCATCCACTCACCCAATCACCACCGCTGTCCCTTCTACACTTTTCTGGTCCATGTTGACTCTTCCCAGTAACCAATGTAGTGTTTCTACCCTCCTTAGTGAGTAGTAGTGGGCACACCTCCCGGCACTGAGAATTTCTTCTTTCAGGGAGAGGATGGTAAGGCAAGAAGAGTGGTCCATCCAAATTTAGCATCATTTAGTGTTTTGTTTTTTAGTGTTTTGTTTTAGTATATATAGGGGTCTATTCACTAAGCGACGTGACGCTGTTCGGCTATTCACTTCAGGCTGGTACGACTGATTTCAGCCGTATACCGGGTAGCTTCACATGGCTTCGGGTCGGCCGAACATGCTCAGCATGCTAGTTTACTATTGGCTATTGCAAATTGAAATAGCCAATAGGAATCTAGCAATGCATTCCTATGGGCACATTTTTATTAATTTTTTTTCTATTCTGACATGGCTCCGTGTTAGAATAAAGAAAAAAAAAGAAACAGCAGTGTTTCTCTCCTGGCCGGCTGGGAGCGGGAGACTCCCGGAGCGCCCGGGAGAGTTTGCTGTCTGGAGATCAGTGTCCCTGGTTAAGATCTGGAGATCAGTGTCCCTGGGTAAAATCACAGATGGCTCCGCCCAGCTGTCAGAAGCAGGCTGTCGGCCGGCCAATGGCCGGCCGCTCGACTAGCCTCGGCTTTAAGCGCGGCTCAGCCAAGCCGAGGCATATGCCTTCGGCTCAACTGAGCCGCTAGGCTAAGTTCGCGAGCTGTACGGGCTATTGTGAATCAATCATGGTAAAAGTGGTCCAAGTATTTTATGGTGAACACTGTTAATTACTGCAAATTACAATAATGAGGGATCCCTGCAAATATTTGTAAAAGTTCATTTTGTTTGAATAATGGCAGAAAGGAATGTCCTTAATATTTTTTTTTTTCTGTTCCACTAGATGGAGGAGCTGGGGAGCATAGAATATAAGCTTCATCTAGTAGAGATAATGCAGCATGACATCACAATACATTCACAAGTGCAATTTTGCAAAGAGCCCCCCTCATTATATATAGAATGTCCTTCTGGATTCCCACTGTGTTTTATTTGTTTGTATATGCCACAGACTGGGGCAGGGTCATGATGATCTGGCCACAGAGGAAGTGACTTGAATGATGTTGGCCATCATGTATAAAGAAAGAAGTTTGGTGAGTATAGACGCAAAATCTACTTTTAAATTTTATCATTTAACAGGCTTTTTTTGTTAATTTGTTATTTTTGTGACACTAAACTCAGGAGTTAAACCTTAAAAATACATTCACGTACCTTAACTATTATCATAAATTTGTGTATCACTCAGCTGTAAATCCTCACATTTTCACATTTTCTCCGAATTGGTGCTGACACTGTCCTTCCTTCTGGAGGGTGGCCACTTTTGTTCCCCATGGTTCCTGTGTGTGTTGTAAAGTAGCCACTGCTCCAAGCTCACCCCCGTGATGGACTAGAATCTCACCTTTAGTTTACTAATGTGTATTGATATTGTAGTCCATCACAGGAGTGAGCTTGCAGCGGTGACTACTTTACAACACACGCAGGGACCATGGGGAACAAAAGTAGCCACCCTCCAGAAGGAAGGACAGTGTCAGCACCAATTCAGAGATGATTTGAGGATCTACAGCCGAGCGATACACAAATAAGATACATTTTTGTTATAAGTTAATGTACTTGAATATATTTGTAAGGTTTAACTCCTGAGTTTAGTGTCACTTTAACTGGAGTACTGCTTTAAAATCCTTAAAGGAGAACTATGAGGTGAGTGCTTTTCACTCACCTCATAGTTCTTGCCGACCTGTGACAATGAGACTGTCACAGGTCGGCTCAGTAGATCGGGAGGTGAGCGAACATATACCGGCGTTCGCTCACTTCTCGATCCTGTCACGGCTCTCTGCCGTGACAGGAGAGGGGCTGGATTCTCCCCGCTCCGATCCGCCAGCACTGACTGGCGGAACGGACGGGGGAGGGAGCGGGTACAGCTGGCTCTGCCTCTAGATAGGCAGAGCCAGCTGTCACTCACGCAGCTGGGCGGATCTCGACATCAATGTCGGGATCCGCTCCGGCTGCGTCGTCTCAGTATACCACGAGCTGTAGCTCACGGTATAGTGAGCTTAGGGTAACGGGAGGACGTTAGTTTGTGTCCTCCCGTTACCCTAAGGAGAACTATGGGGAAAAGCCCTGACCCCATAGTTCTCCTTTAATTGTACTGAAATAAAATTGAATATGCAATATCACATCACTCATGAACATGTCTCTAGTAAACACACAAGCACTCCTAGACACCATTGATTTGGAAAGTCACTTAGTGGGAAGCCTAAATAAATTGTAGTTATTTATTTACATATTAGTAGAATATTGTACCATTTCAGCCATTGAATAATGCAATAGGTTTAGAGCTTTAGTCATAGCCTTTATTTGCAGATTTCAGTTTTTAAATACCTCAATAACACATCTAAATTTTGATCTCTTATCTCTTACAATAGCCATTACCGCTATAGTGTGATGGTAAACACCCTGAAAGCATGCATCCTAAATAACTTAGGTTAGTCAATAAAGGGTATCACTTAAACTTTAAAGTTTATATGTAAACATATAGATTTAGATATTTTAGGGTATGTGTAGATTCAATGCTATACAAAGTCATCAAAGCAAGAACAGTTTTCGCCCCCTCCCCATCTTTCAAATACTGAAATAGGTATCTTTTCACTGACCCTATAAGAGAGCAGCATTCAGTTCTATGTGAAAGTAGAAAAGGCTTCTATCCCCAACCGACATCTAATATATATGGGCTCCTGACTCCCAGAGCCTTGTGCAGCTACACAGTATGCAAAAATGCTATCTCCAATTTTGAGTGCATTATACTACTGCTTGAGAAGTGTGGTTGACCATTAAATCAGCGCATGGTATGTAATAAACTGTAAAGTGTATTATTATTATTATTATTTGTATTATTATTATATAAATTTGAAAAGATTATAATAATACACATATGTGGAAAATATAGAATCATAACTGAAAAGAAATAAAGAAAATACAACAGGAAATTTTAAAAAATGAGCATCGATAAATGCAACACAATTGAATTAAAACAGTGAAGAAAAAAAACCATGCACACAGATTAGTTCAAAATACTTACAACTTACCACTTCTTCATGAGTTGCACTCTCAACATTTATCCCATTCACCTGCAATTAGAGAGACGTTTCTGTATAATAATTGTACTTTATAAATGTAGGTTTTTTATTTTTCATTGACAAAGTCGCTGCAACATCAGAGTAATTTTATAAACAGTTTGAAGTTAGTGATTTGAAGATCAATGCAGTGAACAGATAATAAACAAGCTGAAAATTAGAAACCATCAACAGAAAAATGTAGTGAATTTTGGTCACATAGAACTTATTCTCCATTCACATGTTTTTGCCCACGCACATAACAAGCAATGCATTCCTATGGGGCTTGTTTACACTTGTGCAACATGAGAAACAGTACATACATGATTTTTGGCAGATTTCAGTGAGTTCTGTCCCCAACAGACTGTAGTATAGTCACAAACGCGCACAAAACCACATGCCTATTAAAAATTCCACATTTAAACATGTACTAAAACCGCACATTTTTTGCGTGTACAAAACACGCTAAATTCTAAATGCCTATGTGTGAATGGAGACTGATGATCCTGTTAGTGATCACAGAATATTACCAATTAGAGAATTTCACAATATAGCAGACCGAGAGTTTAAATGGGCGTTTATTTAAAGTTTTTGTAAAGTCAAACCTCTCTTTGTTAGTTTTGGATAAAGTAGGGAAGAGTTAGATACTATCAGGTTTTTATTGCTTTGTGAGATTCACCCTCTCTATTGGTCCTTTGTCACCTGGTCAGAAAGTAACTGGAGAATAAAACTGTAGAGCTGTCTCAAGAACAGGAATAAAGGGAAAATATCCCAATAGGAACACTTGTTCTGGTGACCATTGTCTAATAGGGAATTTTTCTTTGGAGGGATTTACTCTCACCTTCTAAATTTAAATTCAGGAATTTGGGTAAATTTACTCAAAGTGACTCTATTCAAAACTTTATTCAAATTTAAAGTGACTCTATTAAAAAATGACTTTATTAAAACATTTAAAAAAATTAAGGCTTTAGATATACTTTAATGAATTATTTTAGTAGTTAAAGCAAATGTAAACCCAGCTGTTAATAAACAAGCAGGGCATTCTGATGACACACACTATTAGCAGAATGTCTGTGAAGGTTCTCATTCATCCAGGTCATGGTAGATCTATAAAAAATAAGTCAAGGCAATTGGACATGCTGGATTTTTCTTGAAGACGTCTCACTGGTCACCCAACCAGCTTTCTCAATTCAGAATGACTTGTATTTAACAATAACAATTCTCTGGGAATAAATATGGTGAATGTTGCTCCAATCCACATAACATGTCAGTTGCAACCAGGTGTTGACTGCATTTACATAATTGGAGCCAGGAGCTGTTTGTAACATTCCCATAGAGAGGCTAAAGGAAAAAGATCACTCCTTTGAAAACAGGCAAGTATGCATCCCAGACAGGGAGGAGGACTGGTTCAAAAGAGGTGTGAAAGAGGCCATTTATGTAAAAATGGAAAAGCCAAGCTTGAATAGAGGTTGGGGGTGAAACATCTATTGTCTGCCACATACAATGCTGTTTTAACACCTCCTAGACTCCAATTATGCAAATGCAATCAACACCGGGTTGCGACTAACAGATTATGTGGATTGGAGCGACATTTACCATATTTATTCCCAGATAATTTTTTGTACAAGTCATTCTGAATTGAGAAAGCTGGTTGGATGACTAGTGAAACGTCTTCAAGAAAAATACAAGTCCAGTTGCCTTGACTTATTTTTTATAGATACTATTAGCAAAGTTTTTGAAACCATAGTAATGTTTAAATATTTTTAAATTATTTTAAGCTGCGACAAACATTTTTTTTTATATATTGAAAATATTTTCAGCTGTCACATGACCACGCTATCTTTCCCACAGTGTCTACAGGGTTTTAGGCACGGAGAAGCCAGCAGCACATTGGGCATCTGTGATGTTGCTGCAGACTCTGCTGCATAGCTGTCATACAAATACTGTTGTTTGGCGCATGGCCCTGGGTTGACAACAGGAAGCTATGAAGAATGCTGTACATAGCAAAGTGTAGTTCCCCAGATGGAGAGCATTCAGGCTGACAATGCTAATGCTGAAATGGAAGCATTTTCACCCTATTACAGGAAGCCCGGAGAAGCAAAAGAAACTTGCAAGATCAACAGGAAATTAACATGGTGAGCAAAAAAGGCTTGTACTAGTATTAGGGACTATTTAGCTAACAACAAATAAAAAGGTCTGGTTCACACTGAGTGTATTGTCGCAGCTGATTCAGCGTGACAAAAAGCTTCACCAAAAAAGTAATTCTTATGGCTGCGGTTTACACCTGAGTGTTTTGTCACAATAAGCAAAACGCCTGTCGCTGGAAACAGTACATGAGCTTCTTTGGGGCATATCCCAGCTCATTTTGGGCCCCATAGACTCAATAGGAAATTATTGGAAACGCGCATTGCAATTCGTTTTGCGTGTTTGTGCACATGTTTTGCCCATTTACTTCAATGTGTCACAATCTGCTTGTAAAAATGCACGTATTTAGTGCATGCATGAAAACGTGCAGCAAACAGTGTGCTTTTTTTCAAAAAGGAAACGCTGTTGTCTATGTCGGAATCAGGTCTAAGTGTGAATATTCCTGCAACAATATGCGGAATTTAATAGGTGCAAACATATTGTGCAAGATGCATTTGTTCAAAGTTGCAACTTTTGCAATGTTTTAAATGCACCTGTACCTACTCAGTAAAAGTTTATTACATACATTAAAAAGACTAGAAAGGCATTGTAGTATATACTGAGGTGTCACATGGCATGGCGCATAGGACTTTTATAACAATTTACAATAATTACAGCATAAGGAGTGGGTTAGGGTTGGCAACCTTGTGCTTTGTGTTACTGTTCAAGTATGATTATGGTCGAATACAGCTACACACTTGTACAATAAATTTCTTATCAAACATCTTTAATTGTTTGTATGCCATGTATAAAAACGGAGCACTACTTGAATTATCTTCTTTGGGTGACAAAATAAGGCAATGCTTTGTATTACATGTGACAAGAAAACACTTCCAGTAGGCTTAATGCTTCAAACTGAGAATGTTGCTAGGCAACGCCAAAATAGAAAATATTGAAAAAATAGACAATTGAAAGCTTTTTGCAACTATCTATGCATTCAAAAAATCACCATTTGCAAGATACTTTGCTGGGCTGCCACATACTATAAGGAAGGGTTAAGGGAAATGAAAAGATGCAAGCATACAGGTGGCAAAAAGCTTTATTTTGAGTTAGAAGTATTATCCAAGTCACAATTTCAACACAAAAGCCAGACCAGACTTGTATGACAAGCATCTATAGAGTCACTGAGTTAATTTACTAAAGGCAAATAGGCTGTTCACAAATAGCCAATTATTTCTCCATAGAGAAATCTCAATATAGGACAACCAAGTCCAAAAATACTATTAAACAATGATTTTATTATAACCTTAAATAATCACATCACATAATAATGACAAACATTTAAAAACAATTAAAATGTATCCCTTCTACCCTCACCATGGCTTTATATTAAATGTATAGAGATATATCCGACTATAATACTAAGGCCCCAGCTATGAATCGATTTGTAGTTGTTATTCAAGTACATCATGAATAAATAATACTTATCATAAAACCTCATGAGTAGGAATCTCATAACATGCAGTAAGCACGTGTTCATGGATGGAATCCAGCAATCCTATCCACTCCATGTATTTTAGGACATCAAAGGTTTGGTTGCTGAATCATGTGGTTCTAATTCAATTTGTAAAAATCTTGATACATCCACAAGTATCCAAACATTCATATGGATTAATTCATCAAACTTGCAAAAGGATCAACATTCCGATGTGATAAAAGTAGGAAGCACGGATACTGCACAACATGCCCCGCTGTTATATCATATAGATCCTTTTGAGAACGTTGAATCTCACAGATCGGAGTACCCACATGTACTCAATGGGGTTGATTTACTAACCTTATAAACACACCACGAACGTGTATACACCTCTGTAGTGTGTTCCCTCCCAGCATGATCTATGGGTGGAATCTAAACACCTTTGTAGTGTGTAGTGTGTGTACACACCCAGCAGGTGTGTTGTGCAAAGCCCTGCCCTGAATTGCAAGGTGATGTTGTGTAAATTAGCTCTACAATGTGTTGCTTGCGTTGATGAATGCAGGAATGTAAATGCATGAGCTAACCATTTTTGTCTACACTGTGAAGCAGCACTATATATGCATCATGTGCATGATTTTTCCATATATGGCATTAGTGGAAATATGCTTATAGAGACTTTTTGGTTGATAAATACGTTTTGCTGTGTAAAAATCACACGCACCTGGTGCGTGCGTGTGTTTAGGTTAGTAAATCACCCCCAATGTCTTCACTCGCAGCAAAATACATCAGTGAATAGATCAAAGTGCTGTGCTCCAGAGAGGATATATAGCAGACACACATGTGTATAGTTCAACAACAACCTGGTTTGAAATCCTCATTTATAGCATATATTGAATGAGCAGACATGCTGATCATACAGTGTTGCAACAGAGATTAGATGTACTTATCTCTCTTGAGTAGAGACTGTAATTCAGAAGTCCATTTGATGAACGAATTGCACGGCTTATTTTGTCTTTATTTTATATTTTATTTCATGCCAATTATATTTTTTTTCACTTTTTTTTGCTGTATGTGTCCTGTTGAGTAGATTTCATTTTACTTCCTGTCACAGAAGCACAACCAGAAGCAAGAATAAATCACTCCACTGTGAGGGAAATCGTGCTACAGAACAAGTTTTACAGATGGAAGATTTTCCCTCTATACCTGAACCAGTGATCGATGTAAAACATTAGATTTCCCATTTAAAGAGAACTAAAGCCAAACCTCTTTTTGGCTTTAATTCTCTTTTGGGTCACAAGGAGTACATTTACTAATTTACTACTTTTTAACTACAGTTACTTACTAGAACTTCTGAATGTTTTTTAAAGCCCTGTCCCCACTGAGGTTTTAAATGTTTTCTCTTCTTGTTTTGCCTGACACATCACTTTGACAAGAAATGAGCGGAAATATACCTCATGGGGACACAGGCACCATGGAAATACACGTGACCCTCTGGAGGATATTTACCTTCTCTTCCAGTTCTATGTCCATCATGCAGATGGAGAGTGGGGACAAATCTCACAAACAGGGGCACCGAGAGTAATAAATATGTGACAGACATTGTAACTCTCTCCAAAACTAAAAACAAAATTTTTGGCTGAAGCTGGATGTTTGAACTAAAAATACATAATAAAGCATTTTACTATGACTTTTATGATTGTTTCAAACCATTAAGATGTAAAAATAAAACAATGATAAAAAACAAAGATACATACCTGCATGAGTGCATCGCCTGTGAACAGTAACCCACTCTGATCAGCTAAAGAGCAATAAAATCAACACTCTTTAAGTAAAATGTAAATATAATGGGAGTACAGTGATAACAGTAATGATAATAATGATAGTAATAATAATAATACTTCTTATAACTATATTATATTAACAAAACTACTTTTTAGAAATACATCTGCATAAATGGGATTTACCTGGTTGATCTTTAAAGATTTTGGATATAACAACAGGTACTTTATGTTGTGCTCCACCCTGGAAAAAAAATATATAATAAGGTATATTAGTCATTTATAACACATCCTTGCAAAGCACATTATTTTTATCTTGGCAAAAGATTGTTAGATTCAAATAAGCATTATGCACAATTTCCTAAAGCCAAATGGAACTTTCATTTTCAGTCAGTTAAATAAATGCATTGTGAATCAATGTGCAAAGTCTTAAATATTGTTTAGATGGATAGCAGCCGCAGTCAGCCTCTCCTCTGCCAGCATGATGCAGAAAAGGAATGCAGTTACCTGTGTGTAAGCAGTGGTCTCTCTGCAGTAGTCAGACACACTCCCACCGAGTCAGAGCAATATCTGTGCAATCAGCTGAGCTCATGCATCCGGCTGATTAGGATATGTCTACCTGTGACTCACAGAGGAGGTTGCAGCACGTCAGACTGCTGCAGAGAGATTACTGCTCACACACAGATAGCAGTTCTTCTCTATGCTGGCAGGGGACAGGTTGTTTTACTCTAGCTGTGAGTGCTTTCCAACCAAACAAATTGGATGACTTTGCTCATTTCGGTTCACACTAAATGTATTTTGCTAATTAAAAAAATTAAGAAGAACAGAATTTTAAAAAGTAATCCTTGCAGTGGGGTCACCCCTGCACTGCAAAGGTTAAGTGCCAATTTGGTCTAGGGGTGAAAATAAAGAAGAAATGTTCACCCGATCCTCAGTCCTGCGGCAGTGACCGCTCACCTCTCTCCCCCCTCTGGTCATGTCTAATGAATCTGTATTAGATGTGATGTTGACACATGCCCTTAGACCTCTGGAGCCCAGGGGAGAAGCGGCTGCATGGACCAGTCTAGCGTTCAGGCAGGACTGAGGATCGCATTAGTATTTCTTCTTTATTTTCACCCCTAGACACAATGAGCACTTAAACCAGCAGTACAGGGGTAGCCCCATTGCAAAGGGTAATTTTATAAAAATCTTGAAGTTTGTCTTTAAGGCACCATTAAAAATAAACAAACCTTTATATAATATTTTTTTTTTAAATGTGTCTTTATTAAAGGTTTGTGAAATGCAACAAGATATATTAATAGGAAGAAGGCCCATTCAGTCTAGTACAGTAAAGGTTGCCTAATACAAACAAAAAAGCCTTATATACATTTTAAAGACATTTTAAAGGATGAATATGTTAAAGTTTCAGGAATGCATCTGACCTGCATATAATGTACTAGAGGTAGATGAGATTTCAACCTACCTGCTGTCCTTTCATTCCATAGAAAAATGACTACTGCCTGTGATAAGCCTTATTAAGCCTATTATGGCCAGTAACACACAGGGGTCTATTTATCAATGTTTTCATCCAGATTCACACTCCTTTGACCCAAGATTTTCCCCGAAGATTCCAATAGAAAAATTAGCGAATCTTGGGTCAAGAGTGTATGAATTTGGGTCATCCAAGTCATGCAGGTCTATTCACTAAGCTGCCGAGGGCAGCCGAGTGAACAACCGACCCCAAGTGAAGTGAGCCGAACACTAGGAGCGACAGGGAGAGTTTGCTGTATGGAGATCAGTGTCCCTGGTTAGCAGGTAACCAGGGACGCTGATCTCTCTGCAAGTGGCCAGAGCCAGCCGTAAGATGTCAGAAGACAGCCGCTGTCAGAAGCAGGCTGTCGGCCGGCCAATGGCCGGCCACTTGGCCAGCTTCGGCTTTCAGCACGGCTCAGCCGAGCCGATGCATATGCGTTCGGCTCGACTGAGCCGCTCGGCCACATTCGGGAGCTGTAGGGGCTATAGTAAATAGCCCGTACAGCACCCCTTCGGTTCTACTGAACCGAAGGAGTCCTGGGGCCGAAGCTAGCCGAAGGATCGGCCGAAGCTACGGCTAGATCCTTCGGCAGCTTCGTGAATAGACCCCATGGTATATCTGTAAAACATAAATCAAGGCAACTGGACTTGCTGTACTTTTCTTGAAGATTTCTCAATTCTGAATTGATAAAAGTGGTCGGATGACCAGTGAAACATCTTCTCGAAAAATACAGCAAGTTTAGTTGCTTTGATTTCATTTTTACAGGTATAATTATAAAAGAATTGCCTCCGTGTTAACTGCTGGCAGCAAGCAGATTCTGCTTTTCTTTCCCCACTGGAATATGGAAAATAAAAGTATGATCCTGATTGGTTTTGGTGAGTATCTGTCCATTTTTTACAAGTTGTTTTTATTCCACCAAAAAGCTTTCAGAAGACAGAATATGAAGCAAGAACCAGGTTGCAATGCAAGCCATAAAAAACATGCTATATAAACAGTGATTACAGCACCACAGGCAAGAACCAAAGGCACCACAGGCAAGAACCCCCTTTATTTTACAATGTGTTTTATCAACCTAAACTGTGTTAAAAAATACCCTGGGCTAATAAGCCATTGAAAAACTCCTCCTAACACATTGGTGAATAAACATACTCCGGAGTTAGTTAGGGGAATTTTCTAACCATCTTAGTAACCATGACAACCATTTTTCTAATATAGTTTTGGTAAAAGTAAAATATTTTGTCTATTTCTCTGAGTGATTTTTGTTTTGTGAGAATGTGTAAAGGATCCAGAATATTACATACCTTGATGCTTAGGCCTAATCCTCCAACGGGGTCTCTGTGAAGTGTAACAGTTCTGCGCTTTAAAAAATTGGAAAATAAGTAAAATTTAGGTTAGTACTGTATATAAATAACCATAGCTAAAACATTCAATATCACTTATTATGCTCCTTAACCACTTGGAGACCGTGGTGTTAAACCCCCTTCCTGTCCAGGCCATTTTTTTAGTATTCAGCGCCGCAGTACTTTGACATTTATTAAGGCATGCAGGCATGCAAAATTTACTATATAAAGAAAAAAAGTACCAAAAAAATAAATAAAACTTTTCCCTACATTATGTTATGAAACATTTGTTACCCAATTTTTTGGCAAAATATTAAGAAGGGGTTGTGCCGGTATATAGATACCCAACATGTCAAGCCTTAAAAAGCTTTTTCTGCTCATCAATTTAGAGGGTTATTCACAAAACTAGCCGAAGTGACAGCCGAAATGGGGCGAACAGCCGGCCAAAAGCCAGCCGATCGCCTTGCAAATGTAGGCTGGGCGGAGCCAGCTGTGATCTCACGGCTGACTCTGCCCAGTTGTTTTTCATTGGCCAGGACCAGCTAGAAGAATTCCCCATGTGAATGGGGCCTAAGGATACCATTATCCAGGCATATATTAGATATTGATAAAAGAAGGAACTTCCCCTTTACAGTCATATTGTCACTCTTCTTCTGAGTTCTTATTGCGAGAAAGCATTGAGACTCTTTGAATGTAGGTTAGCAGGGTGAGCAGGGTGATAGGGAGATGAGGTCATCAGTGTTGCTTCTCCTTTCGCTGGCCAATCACAGGCTGGGGGAGGGACAAGACCTGTAAGTGTTTTTTTTTACTGTAGCTGGGTGGAAAACAATCAGGTCTTCTGCCCTGCTAGCTGTACTTTATGGTAGAGTGGTATAAATCTCTGAATAGGATGAACAGAAATACAAATCCTTTGGCAGGTATTACAGCTCCTAAATATCTATTTGTGTTGTGCCTATTTAGTTGTCTTCCTAGAGTTTAGCTTTACCTCTGTGTTAAGCTAGACCAATCATGGCATTAGTTTCAACTGATTCCTGCTAAAATGGCCAACATTTGAGACATGGGGGGCCATGTTGGCAACACCTGGCTTGATAAACTCAGGAGTCATGTGGAAAATTTTCATCCAAACAGTGACAGACAATTACACGCACTCACTGCTCAGAGATTGAGACATCTGTGCTTGCCATATTCCTTCATCTATGTTGTTTAGCATGGATGGAGACATTTATTTTTTTAATTAAATCTTTGTGTGTATGGCTAGCCTCGGATGTTTCATGTATGAAGACCAGCATACCATACACAGAGAAAGAAGAGCAGCATTTTGACAGTAAATTATACATTCCAGTGTTACTTCCACATGATAGTCGTCGAAGGGTTAAATTGTAAACATTTAGGACTACTTAACAATGTATTTCCTACAGAACGATTGTGTACTCCTAATCCTGTTATATGTTTAAAATGAAAGGGGTGACCCTTAATTTGAAATCATCTTCCATGTCCTATTATTTTTCTGAGTTTTATAATTGCTTAATGAGGGTCAAATGAGCAGTTCACTGGATAAATAAAGGAAAAGCACAAATTAATTAATGGGTGGCGGTTCACATGTGATAGAAGGTCACACTTTGAAATTACTTTTTTTCAGTTTGGACACCATGTAATATTCTTCAGTAATTAAAATAATTATTGTGTTTGTTGCTTACTTCAGAAATTAGAAGGGGCATTGTATTAAAGAGTTCACAATTATTATTAATGTATACACCTGTTTTATATTATAACTAGTCAGGTTGCGGTAAGGGGACAAAAGGGAACGAAAAACCCTTCGCCTAAAATACTGCGAGGAACTGTAAAACACTTAAAGTGACAATAAAGTCACAATTCTCCCCCCAAATCTAATTCAAGGACTTACCTTACATGATGGCTCTTGATGCGATCATCTTCTTTCCAGTAGTTTTCAGGAGTCCCTTCAGCTCTGGTGCTGGTCTCTGATCCAGTGCTGACTGCTGCGTCTTCTGTGTCCCACGGTGTCTGTCCGAAGTGCATGCTCCCGGCTGCTTGCATTGACTTACCCTGTGTCTCTCCTGTTTTCCCGGCCGAAGATCTCTACTGTGCATGTGCCCGCCCCATGATCCTTAACGTCTGTTCAAGAATCTTCAGATCTTCAGACTGGAGTGAGCGGCGGAGACACAGATAAGTAATAACATTTTTGGTAACTATTTTATTGTTCTAAATGTTTTTAGATATCTACTGCTTGCTATCAGTAGGTATATGTAAATACAAAAGTGACTTTACTACTACTTTAACTCTAAAATGTTATGCATGGGCAATATACGCAAATTAAGCATAGCACTTAACCCTTGCAGTGCAGGGATAGCCCCACTGCAAGGGTTAATAAAAATTATGCCTGGATCTCTGCATTAAGTAACTTTGCCTTGCAGCTATGAAATATGTTATACATTTATATGTGTTGAAGTGTTTACCAAAATGTCTGCAGTTGTGCACCACTGTCATCCCCTCTGCCATGTCTACCTGAGACTCACTGCAATTGACTGAGAAGTCTTTACAATATAAATGTGCCTATTTACAGAGGGTCAGCTGTATATGTGAGTTGCATACCTGCATATGAATCCTGTTCCTTTTATTTCTGACCCATGGATACCTATCATGATGCCCTACATGATAGTTACCATCTAATCAAAATCTGTTCAAAATGAAAATTTCTGATATATGAGGATATCCAGTTTCATTTTGGATTCACATATCCTGTAGAGATAAGAATTAACCTGAATTGACTGAGAATGTACTTTTGCATGACCCCGGAATTTCAGTATAATGTGTCCAGCCCTCCATCCACTTAATCCCCGCTACCAGGGGAAGGGTGCCAGTGTAATGTTACAGCATCTTATTTTTTTCTACAGAAATTATTAAACATTACATTTTATTCAGCTTGGCCGTGGCTTAAATTCATAAACTTTGGCCTCGCGGAATGCTAATTTATAATTATGCTGTCAGTCCAGTAATGTTAAAAAGAAAACTACAACATGCTCATTTCATAAAGAGCTGCTTTAACTAAACGATAAGATGTATGATAGCAGTATTCTTGTATAACTGTCTGACCCCCCTCGATCAGACAGCCTAAAACGATTCTTGTGAGAGAATTGCCCTGTTAGTAGGTAGTCATCGGAGGAGGTAATAAGAGCTCACGTAGCAATTCTCCAACTCTTTCTATATGTACGAGGGTCAATCAAAAAGTAATCCCTCCATGTCTGTAATTTGAGATCTATTAGAGTGTACCATGTTATAGAGGTATATAACATGTACCTCTATACATGTATGTGTATATATGTATATAACATGTACCTCTATACATGTACCTCTATATAAGCATACATAACATGTATGCTTTTCTTTTTCAGATTGAGTGATTAGAACCATGGATCTGCGGCCAAAACAACGAGCTGTAATTGAATTTCAAGAGGGTTTTGCTAATCGTAATTAGCTAAAGAATGTTTATTGACATGCTGTAGTGGACATTAGCAATGTGCGGCATTGGGTGAAGAAACTTCACGAAGGAGAAACCGAAAATCCACTACAACATCCCCGTTCCATTACAGCTTGTTGTTTGTGATGCAGATCCATGCTTCTAAACACTCAATCTGAAAAAGAAAAGCATACATTAGTGGAGTACGGACATCTCTATAATATGGCACATGATCATTCACAGTCCCTCTAATAGATCTCAAGCCACAGACATGGAGGCATTACTTTTTGATTAATGGAGGCATGACTATTTGCAACCAGGCCAATTCCTTTCCTTACTGAGAAGAGGAAAGGAAGTGTTAGACCTTCAGCTGCATCATTGAATAAACAGGGCAGATGCTGGTGCTAAACTGAAGGGAAGATGTCTCCCCATTTTTGTTTTTTGGACATCATGTCTAGCTTTAGATATTTTAAAGTATTATTAAGTCCTAGGCAAAAGTCTCATGCCTAGGACTTAATACAGCTAGAATAGCAAACTTTTTATTATTATTATTTATTATACATATTATTTGATTACTTTTAAATCCACACACTATGCACCACTTTTCTTCCCCAAGCAGCAGCTTGCTGTTTATACTAGACGTGTAAATTTTGTTTTGCTCCAAATGGATATTCATAGAAATTTCGTTAAATTTGGACTTTCGGATGCATCCAAATTTCCAAAGTCTGGATGCAAACGAATCTAAATGGACCTTTTATGATACTTAGGATCTGTCCAAGTTTCAATTTAACCTAAACTAAATTGGACATATGACTGTTCTCTGGCCAGTCAGATGGGTTTTTTGGCTGTTGGGGGCACAGCCATATGACTGTGTTTTCCGAAACGAAAATTCAGCCAGATTTGAAAATCGAATAATGACACAAATCAAATTTCGGATCAGAATTCCGAAAAAAACGGAATTGATCCAAAACTAAACTGAAGACATTTTTTGTGGGGTTACAGGTCTAGTTTATACACCCCTGCTTTAGCAATGCATACATGATCCTTAGTGATGATGTGGTCAGCTTCTGCTGGACTACATGTCCGATTTAGCTTTGCACAGTACAACTCTACAAAGCCGACTGCAGTGCTTAGTCAATAGAATCAGTCTGAATGTGCTGTTGTGCTCTGCATCACCACATCAGCCTGTTGTCAGAGTCGGAGTTAGCATCAAAGAGTGATGATACTGCTCCTCCATAGTTATAGTCAATGAGTATTGTCACCCTATGACAAGAAAACACTTACTGGCAGGATCATCAGGTGCAAATAAAGGAACACAAAACCTATTAAATAAACAATGCAGCCATCAAGGACTGGTAAGCTATAATATGTTCAATTTTATTTTTGGATTCCCATACTCTTATATTTGTAAAGTTGTATATTTATTACGCTGCAATGTTAGTGCCTTAGCAGAATTAATGTGTTCATAGTCTTTTTTACCTGACAGAAGTAAACTGAGAGTGTAAGCCTGTTTTCATAAAACTATGCACGATGCTAAAGAGGA